TTTCTTGAGGAAGGAATTGACTGGATTAGATTGAAGAAACCGAGTATGTGGGGTTTCCCATCTGTGAACTATTCATCTCAATATGACTAAAGCATTGAGAAAAATTAACTTCGAAGGACAGAGCCTTTTCGGTTCCAGTGTGGCAGTGTAGCCAAATGGTTTGAGCCATTGGTGTAGTGAATTCCAGCACAGCCATTTACAACCTGTCTTACCTTGGGCAAGTTAAGCTCTCCTCAGTAATCATAGAACCTTCTCCATGGAATGACAGTTGAGGCTTCAAAATAGTCCTGGGAACATGGTAAGGACTCTATGAATGTTGGCTGTTGTGGTTAACGACATCACGCCATCATACTACCATTACAGGTGGGTAAGAAAGTATCAAGACCCCAAACCAGGATGTAAGAGCTGGAGGAAATGCAGTGCCAAAATTTTAATGAATGACTTTCTGTTGATGGGTGCAGTCACCTTGGGAGAGGGGTCACAGCAGTGTGGGGTCCTAGGAGAAGATGGTGTCCCTTTAGTAAGAAGTAACTTGTACACAGTCTTTTGAAAAAAATCAATTCAGTAGATTTGACAAGCACTTGTTAGAGGTGTCAGGGCACTGGGGAAGTTATAGCTAGGGACCAAGAAAGGGAAGGTGAGGTAGAGTTGTGTAAGAGATGTTTGTTGACTAAACCTTTAAGCCAGCACATACTGTAAAATAATCCAGTATCATGTGGTCCCCTTTAGGGGTATGTAGTAAAACTATTGATTAAAAGTAGTTCTTTCTTTTTTGGGGGAGGGGGACCCAGTCGTGGGGCCTGAACTCTGGGCCTGGGTGCTGTCCCTCAGCTCTTCAGCTCAAGGCTAGTGCTCTACCACTTGAGCCACAGCGCCACTTCTGGCTTTTTTCTTTTTGCTATGTGGTGCTGAGGAATCGAACCCAGGGCCTCAGGCATGAAAGGCTAGCGCTCTATCACTGAGCTACCTTCCCAGCCCTAAAAGTAGTTCTTAACTGTCAATAAGTCTTGCTGAGGGATTAAAGAAGAATCTTCAGAAACAACAGCAGGGCTGACTTCACGAAAAACGAAACACAACTTGAGTTTTTTCAAAAATCGTTTTTCACTTGCGGGTAAAAGGTATGTATATTTTAGATCCATTCTCATAAGTTGGGGTGGTCACTATTTGGCCCAACTCTGTGCCTTTGGATTTATATTTTATGAAATGGCAGCCTATTTTTGGAAGGGTAATTTGTGACTGGAGATGATCCTGTGATGTGAAGCTAAGTGAGCCTAGACCCTGATGCCAAGACTAAAATCCACAGGAGTATGAAGAAAGAAGACAGGGATTGGAGGCAGAATAATTAGGTGAGAGGCCCAGTTTGCTACTTAGTGGCCATTTGGTTTTTGGTTTGTTTGATCATTTTTTGGGGTGTGTGTGTGTGTGTGTGTGTGTGTGTGTGTGTGTGTGTGTGTGTGTGTGTGTGTGTGTGTGTGTGTGTGTGTAATGGGGCTTCAACTTAGGATTTCACACACTCAGTTTTTTTGCTGAAAGCTGGTCCTCTACAGTTTGAGCCATGTCTCTACTTTTGGCTTTGTGTTAGATGATTGGATCTGTCTGCCCATGGCTGACTGAGCCTGGATCCTCAGATCTCAACCTCCAGTGTAGCTAGGGTTACAAGTGTGAACCACCAGCATCCAGGTAGGCCATTTGTTTTTGAAAAAGTCAGGATCTCTGTAGAGATCATGGACATCTGTGAATATACTAAGCTCTCAGCATAAAAGTACGTGCTACAAAGCCATGGTGTATAATTATTCTTGGCGTCTACTTTGAACTTGTCCTTGCTAACTTCTCAACCAGCCAACTGTTTTTGCTTTCATGGTTAGCCTCAGTAGCACAAGTAGAATCTATTGATGTTTTTCTGAGTCTGGTCAGCACACCTGCTGATGCCTTGTGCATGTCAGGTGACACACGAAGTTCTAGAGAGCCAGCTGTAAGCCCTTCCTTGATAGCACTTACTCTACCAGGACACACAGAACTACTGACAAGTGCATGACTATGGCACCATGGGGCAGTGCAAGACAGTATCAAGCAGTCCTGACCTATCCCAGGGGGTGAGAAGGGAGGACAGATCTGCCCCGAGGAGGGCCCTCAAAGCCTGGCTCTCAGGCCAGGAGTGTGAGCATCACCTGTATCTTGGAGGGAGGAGAGGAAGCACTGTTCTCACTGATACTGGGGATTTCCATGCACATTAACCTTTGAGAACCACATGCCTAAAGCTAAAAAATGTTTAGACTCTAGAGCTCTAAAGCTGGGTTGTCCAATCCAATAGCTGTTGAACACTTGAAAGTGGCAGGTGAGATGTGCTTTAAGTGTAGAATACACATCAAAAACTGAGAAAAGGAGTAGAAAATATATCCTTAATAATTTTATGTGAATCATATGTTAGAAGGATAGTATTTTCGATCTATAAAGTTAAATGAAATATGGTATTATTATTTTACCCATTTCCTTTCTTTTCCGTGGTACTAAGGTTTTTTAACAGTGCCTCATACTTTCTAGGCTGGTGCTCTACTACTTTAGCCATTCCTCCAGCCCTACTTTTTCGTGGGTTAATTGGAGATGGAGTTTCAAGAGCTTCTCTGCTCAGGCCCAATGATACTCTGGATCCCAGACTCCTGAGTAGCAGTGATTATAGGCATGAGCCACTGGTGCCCAGCTTCTTTTCAGTTTTTGATGTGGTTTTTAGTAGGTTTAAAAATGACATGTGTGACTTATATTATATTTTAATTAGACCCAGCTGATCTGAAGGATGAACAGAGGTTTCCTAAAGCAGGGAGAGAATGAAGTGGCAAGAAGGTAATAGTGACTGGAAGTTACTCAGAGCATATTTTATATATGAATTTTTAGCAGATGAGATGATCGTTTGGGTGTTAGAATATTTAGCCGTGTGTGGCAGTAAACACTTAGAAGACAGGCAGTAGGATCACAAGTTGGAGACCAGTCTGGACTATATAGTGAGATCCTGTTTAAAAAAAATCAAAAACAAAAAAAGCAAACCAAAAATATTTATTCTTCTAATTTCCAGGTTCTCTCTGGTCTGACTCTAGCTTGTTTACCCTCCATCGACTCACAAACTCGTACACCCATCTCGAGGAACCCATTGTCTGGTCTCTCCCAGGTGTAGGACTAGAGCCTCATTAGCCTCATGGTCATTCTGCCCCTCCACAGGCAGTCCCTGATCAAGCTTTTGTTCTCCTCTGTCCATTCCTAGGCTGAGAATAGACATTGTGCTTCCTAGGCCTCTGAGATGCTTCCAACTTGAGCCCTGAACCCTGATCACTCCCCTCTTCTGATCACTGTGTTTTTTGTTCTCTGTGCACCAAAGTTCAAACCTATTGCTTGACAAGAAAGGGGAATTGTAATTCTATGATAGCCTCTCAGTTACTTGCAAATTACCTCATTTCGGTTTCTTTCCTATCCCTGAAGCCTTATACAAAAGAGGGTTCCCCTTTCCTAGGAATTTGTTAAAGAAATTAGTAGAAACTGCTTATAGATTCCAGCGAACTTGGTCCCTGATGGTTGTATAATTGTAAGTGAATCACAGTTTAAGTGGCACAGAAAATCCCTAGTGAATGGAAGTTGCCAAGAATGGCAGAAAGCGAGACTCTGATGTCCATATAATCTTTCTTCCCAGTGTAGAAAAACACTGAGGTGGAGGAGGAGGGCATGGAACATGTCAACCTGGCAGAGTGTATCAGGGTAGACTTCCTGTAGTCCACTGCATGGAGAATGAATGCAGGCTGGGGCTGGGAAGGTGGCTCAGCAGTAGAGCACTTGCCTTGCATGCATGAGGCCCTGGGTTCGATTCCTCAGCACCACATAAGCAAAAAGCAAAAAGCCAGAAGTGGTGCTGTGGCTCAAGTGGTAGAGCGCTAGCCTTGAGCTGAAGAGCTGAGAGACAGCGCCCAGGCCCAGAGTTCAGGCCCCACAACCGGACCAAAAAAAAAAAAAAGAATGAATACAGGCTGACACAGCCAGGTCTGTAGACATCGATCCTTAGACAAGCAGCTGAGACAAAGGGAATCTGAAATCATTTTAGTGCGGTCTACGCCACTTTACTAGATTCTTCTGCCAAGATGTGGCTGGTGTGTGTAGTGTCTGCCCAGTTGGGGAAGAGGAGGCCGGGCCTCCTTATCAGTGTTGCTCCTCCCACCCCACAGACCTGCTCCCCTAATCTGTTCAGACAGGCAGTCTCTCTGCTGCTTGTATTTGATACCGTGTTTTGCATCCGGATTTATTCCTTCCCATAGCTATATCTTGAGGCCGGTAGAAGACTTATTTGGGTGAGTACCACTTTTGCTGTTAATATCACTTTACGTCACTTTTGATGCGTTTTCAAATATTGAGCCAATGTGTTTACATTCCTAACATTTGCTTGTATGTGGTATAGCCTGGAGCATTGATAAACTAGTTGCTACCAATCAGTGATGCATAGGAGAACCACATGGAGTGGTTCACTGAGTTAACATGTTTACAACTTCCATAATAAGAAGGTAGGGCTGGTACGCATTTCTTTCGCCACTGTGGAAAAGCAAAGAGAGAAGGATGCTGCCAGTGTAGAGTCATCTGCTGGGAGCTGGGAGTTCCTAGCTCATTCATTTACACATCGACAAATCCTTTCATTAAATCCTGTCTACTTACCGTAAGTATTATAAACTGCCTTTTTATCTGGCGGAAACACAGCATGCCATTAGAATGAAGTGTTCTGTTTTTTTTACGTCATACAATTAGCATTACTATCCAGCCATGTAAGTCAGCTAGGTTGTCTGTAATTAACTTTCTGGAGAACATGCCTCTAGGTACCACAGTGTAGGAAGCCCGGATAACTGACGTCAGAATTGTTCAAAGGCGTCTCAGTTTTCTTTAGAAACTGGCTGTTGTCAAATTATGGCCCCATTCCTAAGCTATCATTCGAAGGTGTAAAATAACTTGTGCTTTTTTGTTTTTTTTCTCACCAGATGTATTGCTGGTCTTGAACATTATCCCATTTGAAAACACCAAGGAGGGTCAGTCACCAGGATGTCCAAGCATAAACTTATTATGTTAAGACATGGAGAGGGTGCTTGGAATAAGGAGAACCGATTTTGCAGCTGGGTAGATCAGAAACTGAACAGTGAAGGACTGGAGGAAGCTCGGAACTGTGGGAAGCAACTCAAAGCACTGAACTTTGAATTTGATCTTGTGTTCACATCTATCCTTAATCGATCCATTCACACAGCCTGGCTGATCCTGGAAGAGCTGGGGCAGGAATGGGTTCCCGTGGAGAGCTCCTGGCGTCTGAACGAGCGTCATTATGGAGCCTTGATTGGCCTCAACAGGGAGAAAATGGCATTGAATCATGGTGAAGAACAAGTGAGGCTCTGGAGAAGAAGCTACAACGTGACTCCACCTCCCATTGATGAATCCCATCCCTACTACCATGAAATCTACAGTGACCGGAGGTACAAAGTCTGTGATGTACCCTTGGAGCAATTGCCACGATCTGAAAGCTTGAAGGACGTTCTAGAGAGACTCCTTCCTTACTGGAATGAAAGGATTGCTCCTGAAGTGCTAAAAGGCAAAACCATTCTGATATCTGCTCATGGGAACAGCAGTAGAGCCCTCTTGAAACATCTGGAAGGTATGTCCCTACTTTATGTCCCTACTTAGTAGAGGTAGTTAAGTTTGATATAGAGTTAGCCTTAATTGATGCACTGTTTATATAACAGAATTCCCTTCTTTATGTCCCTTGGACCCTTGAGATTAAGAACCATTTGTTGTATAAATCAAAAGTCATATGCCTTTGGCATTCATGGTACCTATACAAAACAAGTTTTTAGGCTTGAGTCACCAGAGGAGCTCAGTATGATGCGGAATATCAGTTTTTGAGTCAGTAGGTCTGGGGTGCAGCCTGAGCATTTGCATTTCTTAAAACATTTCCGGGTACTGCTGCTGCTGCTACTGCATCTGCAGCTAAGGGTTCTACACTTCAGAAGCATTGATCTAAAGGCCCATAAGACTTTGTTGTTGTAAGGTGAGGGAATTATAAAAATGGAATTGAATGTCTTATTTGACTTTTTCAAATTAAGTGATTTAGTTTTCCCACTTTCTTCCAATTTTAAACCATTACAGCTATGTTTTTAGACCTAGGTTTTCTAGGGAATTCTTTTGTGCCATTGCTGTTTCTTCAGACGAGACCTCCTTACTAGGAGAATAGCTGGTTTATTTATTTATCATAACTCTAAAAGCTTGTTATTGAAAATTGCCTTTGTTTTATTTAAGCTTATCTTTGAAGGGGCCCTAATTCAGTCTGTAATCATTTCCACAAAAGAATTTGTGTACAAACTTTAGCAGCATATTTATGAAAACCAGAAACCAGATCTACCAGTAGATCTACCCAATAAGTGTGTCAATTAAATATAGTCTGTCCGCACAATGGAGTATTTATTATTCAGCACTTAAAAGCAATGAAGTAGGGCTGGGAAGGTAGCTCAGTGGGTAGAGTGCTTGCCTTGAACCCAAGAGTCCCTGGGTTCAATTCCTCAGTACCACAAAAGCAGAAAAAGCCAGAAGTGGTGCTGTGGTTCAAATGGTAGAACACTAGTCTTGAGCTGAAGAGCTGAAGAACAATGCCCAGGCCCAGAGTTCAGGCCCCATGACCGACAAAAAAAAAAAAAAAAGTAATGAAGTATTCACATGCTCAGTAACACAGATGAACATTGAATCATTGTGACCATCATACATGCTATGATTTCATTTATAGTACATGTCCAGAATAGGCGTTGTAAGTTAAGAGTACAGTAGTTGTTAGCTAGCATTACAGTGAGGTAGAGGTGAGGATATTGAGAGTAAATGAGCATAGGGTTTCATGTTGGAATGGTAAAAGTGTGCTAAAGTTATGGTGAGGGTTGCAAAACTCAAACTACTATGTTATTGAAATGTACACTTTAAGTGGGTAAGTTATATCTCATCAAAGCTAAAAATACTCAATGGGATTGAAGGCTAATGGAGTTGTCACTGGCTAGAAAACAATAGCTTGTGCCATAACAAAACATGTGCACAGGTCTAGAATGTACAATAAGAAGAAAGTGAAAACAGCTCTGCCAGCTGGGTGGAAAAGGACTCAGGCTCTCAGAGGTGAGTCGTGTTAGTCTTGGCTGCTTCCAGCGTTTTTCCTGAAGCCTTCTTTAAAAGTCGGAGGTATGAAACTCAGTCTCAGAGATGAATAAAATTGAAATAACCTTAGTTTATAATTCAAGTGTGTATATGTACACACTTCATGAAAGTGTGTGAAAGTGTGTATCATCTGTTTGGAAGATAATTAATTTAAAGCAGAGGACTTGGTGTGGGAAGGAGGAAATTGAAGGAATGATGTCCCTAGGGGTAGAACACAAGAGGGCTGGAAGCTGTCTTCAGGAAAAGGGAGACATTTGAGAGGGACAAGCAGAATGGAAGGGATAGGGTTGGTGACAGAGCAAGATGGCAGACAGATGCTCAGGAGGAAAGTTGGTCGGAAAAGCTGCAAGATGCAATTAGATGCATATGAGTGGGTGTGATGATAGTGACTCATCCACAGAATGACGTGAAGGTAGTTTGAAGTTTCCCCATCAACCACCCTACGTAGGAGGACTTTGTGCCCTTTGGGCCTGTGGTATCCCTCGTGGTACCATTGGGGTGAGTCCCCGGATTCTCTGCTGTTGCTCTGATTCCCCTTTCGACTCAACTCCAGAGGACTCTTATTTCTTCTGCATGAAATAGTCTGAGATGGAATTTAGAATCACTTCATGAATTACTTAGCCTCTAAACTTCAGTCTCCATTAATCAAGTTACTTTTAAAGAATACACTGAAAAATAGTGCTTGCTTTTTCTTCTATATCATCTCTGATAATTTAGTGAGATTTCAGCCATTTAAAAATGTATTAACATGTACAGATGCATTTACTCACCAAAATGGTGAGTAAACAATATTATAACGTCTTACTGTCTTCCACACCTGACCTTCTAATTCCCAACCTTGAAGCATTTTACTGACTTTAGATGCTAACTTTTCAAGTCTCAAAAAAAAAAAAAAAAGTGTGAAGCTAGAAGTGGAGCTGTGGCTTAAAAAAAAGTATGAATCTTCTTTAATTAGGCAAGAAATACAAGATTTTCTTATAAGAAGGATTACCTTTCAATTTCTGTGTGTGTGTGTGTGTGTGTGTGTGTGTGTGTGTGTGTGTGTGTGTGTCAAAATCTATCAAAATTAACCACATTAATTGCCCATTTACAGTCAGGTGATAACTTGGTTCATTTTCTGGTTCATACCTGTTAGCTCAGTACAGTTATTAAGTAACATTGCCTTTTCCCTTCACAAGTACCACAGCTACAGTATATTAACTTTCACAAGTATTAATGATCTGAAATGGACATAACCATAAGCATAGTAACAAATGTCAGTGCTCAAATAGGCTGATGGGCCGACCTCAACCCTACCAGATGACTTATTTATGTAATATCTTATAAATTGTATGCAATCGGAGATTGCTTTACTTTTTTTTTTTTATGTTTTTTGAGACAAAGTCTCATTTATGTAACCCAAGCTGTCCTGGAACTTGTAATCTTGCTACCCAGAAGTAGATTGCTGGGATTATAGGAGTGAATCACCTTGCCCAACTAGATTGGTTTACTTTTTGATATGATAATTCTTAATATATTCAGAAGAAAAAACAAGCCATGAATTTTCTTACTATATAGGAAAAAAGTTCCTGCTCAAGGGTCTACTTTACAGATTTGGGGGAGCATAAACAATTACCTACACTATTTCAATAAGTCCAGGTTAAAGTTGGATCTGCCTCTGACTGGTTCAGACACACTTCTCACAACACACTATGAAACCTTCCCACACAGAGCATCCTGCTCTGTAATGTTCCAGACAGGTTGGTGTTACTTTTTCAGTGGTTGGCATAGTCACTTCCTGTTTGCTTCCTCTGGTCCACACTGAAGGAAATGCCAGGTACTAGGCTGAGCACTGGATATGGTTTACACCTTGTCAGAGGAAATGGATTGTTTAGTCTGGGCTCAAGCAAAGAATTAGGCAATTTCAAGTTTAGACTCAGAATGGCAGCAAGACACTCAGGAAAGGCAGACGTGATCTCTTGGGAACTGCGTGCAGCTGTACACACAGCCAGGCAAAGAACCCTGGAGATGAAATTAGAGAATTGGGAGGAAAGGTCAGCTGGGACTAGCTCCTGAGGACCAGGGACTGACAAGCATGTCACCTTTGGCATTTAGTGTGGTATTTTCAGAAGCAGCAAGTTCAAGCTTTTCTCTTGTGAGCAGATATTTGCCTAATGGTTAAAGTTTTCAAAAGATACACCAAATCTATAGACGCCTTTATTTCTCAACATTAAAAACGATTAAGTACAAAATTAAATGGTGGAATGTAGTCTCTGTCTTATTCTAGTTTAGAATTGACCTTCTTGTCATCACATTAAAATGCTCAAATAACCCATTTTCAATGGCTCTCCTCAGCCTATCTTTAAGTTATCCATACATGGTATGCAAATTTTAAAGTATTAAAATTATGGGCCAGTTGCAGTGGCTCCCGCCTATATTTTCAGCTGTTCAGGAAGCAAAGATCAGAGTATCAAGGTCAGACCATGAGAAAGCTGGTTGTAAGAGCTTATCTCCTCCCTTACAGGAGAATCAGCAACACTGCCGTCCAGGTTGGCCACAATCCTGGGCAAAAACATGAGATTCTATTTGAAAAGTAACCAAAGCAAACAAAGACAAGATGGTGGTGGTGGGTTAAAGGATAGAAGGCTGTATGTCCAAACCCTAGTACCACTGGAAAAAAAAAAAGCAAAAATTAAAAATAGGTCGATTGTGTATGATATTGAGAATCTCTTTCAACTCTTACTGGTGAACACAGAACTGTCACCACAAATGGTTGTCAGTTTAAATTTAATTGTGCCTGACTGGACTGGGAAGGGAGTAGAGAAAGGGTAGCAGCTCACAGTTGAATCCACTGGAGCTGTTTCTGTTTTTCTGGTCCGAAGTGTGTGCATTACAGGATTGGGTTTCCTTTCACCAATCTTTCTGTCTCACTAAATGTTTCCTCCTGTTTCCTGAAGTTCTAAGATGTTTTCAAGCAAACTGTTTAGAGAAAACCAAAGAATATAGAGGAGACATTTTATTTGAGTTGTTTACTTATCAGCAGTAGATAGAAACAACTTTTTGTTTCTATCTTTTGTTTCTTAGTTTGGACTAAGAATCTTCCAGCCCTCTTTTTTTCTCTTGTTAAATTCATGGAGAACACAGTCTTTAATCAAGCCCTTACAGGAGATTAGATTTAATTTGAAAGTCCAGAAAGTTAGTTTTCATTCAATTCACCCATGATGCCCACGGGCCAGAATGGCTCAAGGGACATAAACCGTCTTTGAAACAGATGACTTCCTTTGAGTCTTTTTTTCCCTGAAAATGTCAACAATATTGTATCTCTAGCAAAGACCTAAGAGTGCTTCCCCTTACAGATTTTATAGTAATCCTTACAGCCCTTGGTTGCATGTAGTAAGTGCATTTATCAGCTCATGCCTGTAATCCTTGCTATTCAGGATATTGAGACATTGAGGATCATGGTTCAAAGCCAACCCAGGCAGAGAA